TGTAAATAGCATCCAGAGTCTGGGTAACTGCATTGGAGAGACTTTGGATGAATTCCTCCCATGAAACATACAGAAATCCAATTGGGAGTGTGATGCTTTTGGAGAGCAAGTTGTCTGAATGTGAAGATCACTTATAAATGAAAACCAGCACTTCTGGAGATTCTCAGAAGCAATTTTTTGGAGGGATGGTAGTGGGTGGGCTTTCCCACCCATGATTAGGGAAGGCAACACTTTGTTTTTGTGCAAGGGGAAAGGCCAGAGCTTTAGTGCATTTGAATGTGAAGTGCCAATAAGACTGGAACAAGTTCAGACGAGATTTTCATCCCTTTCTGTGTACCCGGCTAAAGCAGATCTCAGATGCCATGTTGCTGAAAAGTAAGCCTCACTTGCAGAGTTGGGAATTAAGATCTCACCACATCTAAGGTTACTTCTAATCCTATTACAAAAGTTGCATATTCTTTGATTATCTCTTCTGCATCTGGATTGTTCAGAATTGTACATGAATAAACAACTCTTCGTTTAGCCATTTTTAATTACCATCAGGAAGGAGTGGGTGGTTTTACAATTGTGTGTATAAGATATAGGGAACATATTGGCAAGGATCTGGAAATCTTTGCTGTCTAAGGATGCCTATAGCTATTCTTTAATGATGAAAAATGGTCCTGCAATCACAATAAACATTATTTCAGATGTTTCAAGGTTGAACTTGATCCGCTACTTAGGCCATCCCTTGTTGTTCGAGTAGGATTGTCTTCCAAGATCAGTGTACTGGAAGTGGGTTCGTAGGTGACTGTGGAGCCCTATTCTTGATCTGCATGTTCTCCCACAGTGAAGGCATTGGTTTCCAGGTGGGAGGCGGTCTCAGTCGGGGTTGATTTGACGCTTTCCTCCTGGCACGTTTTTCTCTTTAACCCTCCATTTGTGCCTCTTCAAATTCTGCAGCACTGCTGGTCACAGCTGACCTCCAGCTGGGGCGCTCAAGGGCCAGGGCTTCCCAGTTCTCAGTGTCTATGCCAGAGTTTTTAAGGTTGGCTTTGAGCCCATCTTTAAATCTCTTTTTTCCGTTTTCCGTTCTTGAGTTCGGAGTAGAGCAACTGCTTTGGGAGATGGTGGTCGGGCATCCGGACAATGTGGCCGGTCCAGTGGAGTTGATGGCAGAGGGCCATCACTTCAATGCTGGTGGTCTTTGCTTCTTCCAGCACGCTGACATTTGTCCGCTTGTCTTCCCAAGAGATTTGCAGGATTTTCAGGAGGCAGCTGATGGAATCGTTCCAGGAGTTGCATGTGACGTCTGTAGACTGTCCATGTCTCACAGGCATATAGCAGGGTTGGGAGGACAATAGCTTTATAAACAAGCACCTTGGTATCCCTACGGATGTCCCGGTCCTCAAACACTCTCTGCTTCATTCAGAAAAAAGCTGCACTCACAGAGCTCAGGCGGAGTTGTACTTCAATGTCAATGTTAATTTTGTGGAGAAGTGGCTGCCAAGGTAGCGGAAGTGGTCAACATTTTCTAATGTTACACCATTAAGCTGTACTTCTGGCACTGGAGAAGGATTGGCTGGTGACTGCTGGAAGAGCACTTTGGTTTTCTCATTGTTCAGTGACAGGCTGACCTTCTCATATGCTTCTGTGAAGGTGTTTAGAGTGGCTTGTAGGTCTTCTGAATGTGCACAGACGATGCTGTCATCAGCATATTGGAGTTCTATAACAGATGTTGTAACCTTGGTTTTGGCTTTCAGTCTGCTGAAGTTAAATAGCTTGCCATCTGTCCGACAGATGATTTCCACTCTGGTGGGAAGCTTCCCATCAACAAGATGAAGTATCATAGTGATGAAGATGGAAAATAAGGTTGGGGCAATAACACATCCCTGTCTGCCACCTGATTCCACCTTAAATGTGTCACTTTGGGAGCCATTGCTGTCCCAGACTATTGCCATCATGGAGGAGCCGCAGGATGTTCACAAATTTGTTAGGGCACTAGATCTCTTACTTTTCTCCCCTATAGCTATGCAAAGACAATCCTTAATGCCTTCTCTCTGACATTCCCTCCCTTCTATGGCAGGAATAGTTCCAAGGTTATTAAAAACCTAAGTGCAATTTTGAAAAGACTACTCAAGAAAGACCTGAAGGCAAGGATTAATCTTCAGCTAATGTAACGTAGTGGGATTTGAGCACTGGACTATGACTTCAGAGACCAATGATCAAATCTCTACTTGGCCATGAAACCCACTGGGCAACCTTGGCCAGATCACACTCTCTTAACCTCAGAAGAAGATAACGTCTTTTCCCAAGAAAACCCTGTGATATGGCTACTATAGATTAGAAACAACTTAAAAACACAACAGTGTATGTATGGCAATATATGTATGTCAATATATTCTCACTTTTAAATGTAGAAGTCCATCAGGTTGTTCAACAAGCAAAAGAAAACTGCTTCAAAGATGCACCTCTATATCTGACAATTACTTTCCACCCTGTTATATTTGACATTCTTCTGTAAAAATTGACATCAGTAATAGTAGAACAGCTAAACTTAGGTGTGTGACAACAGACAAAATCTCATGATTTGCCTGGACTGGAAGAGTGATGTGATCTAACTTCCTAAGAGGATTCAGAAGACCCTCTTTGAGGACCATTTTGGTGTGGTAGCTATCTGGGGTTCAGAAGGCCTATCACCAGAGATATTAAAACAGTTTTGTCGAGTGAAGCTTTAAGAATATGATGTTATCTATCAGATCTCTCTCTCCAAGGCACTAGAAGGAATAGTAAATGACTGTGAGAAGGTAGCGATTTATTGCCCCACATCTCCTGAGCAGAGCCTCTGGGACTGTAAGACTCAAGAAGAATGAAGAACCAAGTCCTCACAGGGCTGCAAAGAAAATTGAGTGATAAAAAATAAAAAAGCACAAACCAACAGCAAGCTGAGCTTAATTTCTTCACAAAGAAAGATGCTGGCTCTGTAGCTATCAAAGAACGACTGAGATGTAAGCCAATCAGAAGAATATGGATTTCTGCTCTTTGACTTTCCACCTGATGTTCGGCTCACTTTTATACAGATTTTTCAGGTTTACACAAAAGTGTAAAAAGCAGCAAAAGAGTTAAATATCAGCATGAAATGTTTTAGTGAAAGGCACCATCTGCAGGAGAGGACAACTGTAGTCAACCTATGACCGCTATCTGATTTAGAATCATAGAATCATAGAGTTGGAAGAGACCTCGTGGATCATCCAGTCCAACCCCATTCTTCCAAGAACCAGTAAAATCGCATCCAAAGCACCCCCAACAGATGGCCATCCAGCCTCTGCTTAAAAGCCTCCAAAGGAGGAGCCTCCACATCACTCCGGGGCAGAGTTCCACTGCTGAACTGCTTTCACAGTTCTTCCTAATGTTCAGGTGGAATCTCCTTTCCTATAGTTTGAAGCCATTGTTCCGTGTCCTAGTCTCCAGGGCAGCAGAAAACAAGCCTGCTCCCTTCTCCCTATGACTTCCCCTCAAATATTTATACATGGCCCTCATCATGTCTCCTCTCAGTCTTCTCTTCTGCAGGCTAAACATGCCCAGCTCTTTAAGCTGCTACTCATAGGGCTTGTTCTCCAGGCCCTTGATCATTTTAGCTGCCTTTATCTGGACACATTCCAGCTTGTCAACATCTCCTTCAATTGCGGTGCCCAGAATTGGACACAGTATTCCAGGTGTGGCCTGACCAAGGCAGAATAGAGAAGTAGCATGATTTCCCTGGATCTAGACACTATATTCCTATTGGCTTTTTTTTTGCCACCACAACATTGTTGGCTCATGTTTAACTTTTTGTCCACAAGGACTCCAAGATCTTTTTCACACGTATTGCTGTTGAGCCAGACATCCCTCATTCTGTGTCTTTGCATTTCATTTTTTCTGCCTAAGAGGAATGTCTTGCATTTGTCCCCGCTGAACTTTGATAAGATTGTTTTGAATTCTGTTCCTGTCTTCTACAGTATTCGCTCCCAAATTCCTCCCAATTTGGTGTCATCTGCAAACTTGATCATGCCTTCTAGCCCTTCATCTAAGTCATTAATAAAGATGTTGAACAGAACCGGGCCCAGGATAGAACCCTGCGGTATTCCACTCATCACCTCTGGATATGTTCACTTAACCAATTACAATTTTGCCTAAACCGCATTTGACTAGTTTGTTTGCCAGAAGGTCATGGGAGATCTTGTCGAGTGCCATTTACTCAAGTGCCACACTTCATTTCTTTTTTAAAAAGAGTCCTATGGTTATAAACATTTACTTTAATTAGAAGTGAATGCAATCAATTTTATTCAGAGGTACAGACTTGAGGTAATCTGAATGATCAATATTAATGATAATAAATACAGCATAAAGTTATCCAGTCGCAAAGGAAGGAAGCAAAGGTCCTAAGAAAAAAAACCTCTGGAAAAACCCATAACCAATTAATCAGCCCTGCACCCTGTCATTTTCCCCTCAAAGTCTTTACTTCCTCTTACAATAGAACATAAGGAAATTCAAAAACTAGATTATGTAATATTTTCTTTTAGAGCCAGGAATAAATGTTTTGGGCAAGGCATTCATGTTTCCTCCCCAAAGATGTTTTTTTTAATAAACTGGGAAGCCAAGAGTTGCCTCCAATGGCAGTGCTTTCACCTCTCTTGAAAAACCACAGTGCCTCTTTTAAGGTATTCACAAAACGTTTTCCTTATGTATTTATTTGCAGAAGGCTCTGTAGCTCGCTCTGAGGCGAAGACCATCTGAATACACATCATCAGTACATCTTGCTTCCTTAGAGAGAAGCTTCATTTCAGTGAAGCTTCTCTCTCTCAAAAGGCTGACTGTCTCACTGGAAGCCTCCAAAACTCTATACAGGCTCAGAAGCCAATGCTTTTTTGAGTCCAGCCCTTGGAGAAACCCACAGGTGGGGAAAGGGACCTACCAATTCCTCCTGCCTGTATTGCAGAGGACAAACTAACACTTGCAAAGCACTCTTTGGCAATGAAGAATTATTTTAAAGATTAGTTTTATTTGGAGAAAAAAAACAAGGGGTGGGGAAGGGGGAATTTTACATAATAAAAGACATCTCCCAGGAAGTCCACACAGATTACAAATCATTTTCATAGAAGATATTTTGTACAAATTTTACATGTCTTCAGAATGTGTAAAATGCACCTCAATCCATTTGTGAACCTGTCCTGATAGCAGAGAGAGATAGAGAGAGAGATGCCAAGGGGACGGAGGGGAGGAAAATGTTTCTGGGGTATGCAAATCAACAGTATGCCTCCAGCGTAGCCCCCCTTCTCTCTGCATTTAATAGACTCAAAGCAATACTGCATTTGAAATCTATCTCTGCTCACAGTGGGGCCTCTTCCCCACCCTTTCCAATCCTGCCCATGGGAGATGGCAATGCTCTTTAAATTTCAAAGGACTGACGTGAACTGTAGCTAAAATTTACTGAAATAAGACACCAACCACTGCAGCTTTACTATAAATTTCACCCAGTTGGGATTTGTTTCAAGAGCAAAAAATCAAACTGCTCTCCCCCCACAAACTATGTAAAATGCGTCAATTCCCCAATGAATGTGTGCGCCACCTCATAAAGTCAGACGCTCCTTCTAGCCAGATGTTCTACATCCACCATTGTATACAGGACTTTGAGAGTGGGCTATTAAAACTTTGTGCTACTTCAGTTCTACTCCCATGCTTCCCTTTAGCACAAGGAATAAGAATGAATGAACCCCAGTGCTAAACAAACAACACAAGATCTAACCCCAAAGTGATTTCTTCATAATGTCTGGTAATGATGATGGGGAATTGGGGCCAAAAAATAAAAAAGCTCAGGGGAACAAAAGTCAGCCTTTTGCCATAAGAGCTGAAAAAAGTTTGCCAGTCACCGACATACCCAAGCTGGAGAAAACAAAGGAGGTAAACAGTCACATGATGCTACAGCAAAATATGCTCAGCTAGACCTTCAAAGACTTTGACTACTGTAAAACACTGCCCAAAATGTAAAAACTGCTATTTAAATTTATGATAAATGTGTGTAGTACTAGCTCAATGATTTAAAAAGTCTAGGAAGGGGTAGGAAAAAAAGTCCAAGGAAATTTAATCATCCCCAGAAATTGCTCCCAGCGACTGATTCCTATAAATCCAATGGTTCCTTCATATATTACAGCCTCCTGCAGGGAGGATACTGAAAACTGATTCCATATGGTGATGCCTGTAAAACGGCTCTCTGCATGATTCAACCGAACTGCACCCTTCTCGCACTCAGCACTAAAAAGCCCTCATAAGTACGGATTGGGTTGTGATGGGTGAAAGATTGCACCTTTTGGCTGAACCATGTAGGAAATGGCTTTCTATACAACAGCTATTGTCAGCACCCTCCCTGTCAGCAAGGGTAGGAGTGCAGCTCTGAGACCTCCAAGAGGATGCCCTCCAGTTAGTTCAATACTTTATAGGCTGCAGCAGCATGCAAGAGCTACAAAGCCTGGCCTGGCTTGTTTCTGCTGGATTTCAAAACTGTCTGAATTGTGGGAGAGCAACTGCTCATCACTCTCTCCAACATGTGCAAGGATACAGCCCCTACCTTGGAAGCCCCCTCACCCCTTCCTCAAGTTACTGACGCATGCTTGCTCTCTTTCCCCAGTGCACTCAGGCTTTCAGAGCAAATTATTTCAGGTTACACTGCAGAAGTCAACCAAGCTGACAAAACAAGGAAAGCGATAGTCCTTAGCTGCCCATGTCCTCAATACACACTCTCTCTGTCTCTCTCTCTCTCATAGAAACCTGGCCTGCAAAAGCACTAACCTCAGCTCTTTAACAGGAAGAACCTGGGGCTCTGGACGTGATTGGAAGCTGCGTGAAGTCACACTCAAGACACATATTGGGCCTATTCCTTTTGTCTGTTTGTTTTAAAGACACCTGCCATTTCCTCTCTTGCTACAATTTTTTTTGAAAACAGGGATTTCTCCAGTTAGTTCAATACTTTATAGGCTGCAGCAGCATGCAAGAGAAATTGTATCATTTTTTCATTTTTGTTTTTTAAAGAAAGATTTTAAGAAAGGTCTCTCCAAGGAGATGTTGACTTGTAGGCTTTTATTTTTTTTCTGTCTTGTCTGAATAAAGGTTTGGTTTTGCTCTCCAAATGTTCCGGGGCGGCAACTGGTTAGGAGATGACACAGAGGGACTGGAGAATTTAGTCGGCATACTCATCTCCCTCAGCTTCATCGTCACCATCCACTGACAAAGCAGCATACTTGCTAGCATAGCTAAATTTCTGCAAGCGAGAAAAAGCAAAAAAGTTGTGTTAAATACCATGTAAAAACAGACACAGGACACATAGGGCTGCTCTATGGGAGTGTTAAAAACAGAACAGTTCACTATCATATGCTATTATGATTCTACAGCATCACCTTTAAATAAACCATATGCAGAAAAGATGGACAGCAAGACTCTCCAAATCTGATGGACTAAGAAAAACCATTATGGAATATTTTATCAACCCAGGTTGATAAAATTTGACTTGGGAGCCCTTGGTGGCACAATGGGTTAAACCCTTGTGCCAGTAGGACTGCTGACCAAAAGTGGATTGAGCTCCATCTGTAAGCTCCAGTTCCCCATGTGGGGACATGAGAAAAGCCTCCCACAAGGATGGTAAAACATCAAGACATCTGGGCATCCCCTGGACAACGTCCTTGCAGATGGCCAATTCTCACAGACCAGAAGTGACTTGCAGTTTCTCAAGTCACTCCACACACACATACACAAAATCTCCTGACTTTCCTGTTTTGGTCCCTATTTAACATATATTGATTTACTTTTTAACTTTTACTTTGCTAAACCTTTTTAGTAGTCCCTCCCATTACAGGAAAGCAGAGAAACAAGAACTTGGTGCTTATTAAAACTCATTCTTGCCTCCCAGTTTCTATGAGTCACTGAGCATAAATAATGGGGGAAGTGACTTATGTAAATAAATAATAGTATTACCCACTGCCAGAGCTGAAACAGCATAGAAAGCTTACTTATAACAAATTGGCCTTTCCAGAACGGTATCATATTTCCTTGACTGAAGGAGGATGGGACTCTCACATCCCAGCTTCTCTTAAATGTCAAAACTGAACCAAGGGCTTTTCATCTATCAAACATTGTGATCCATCACCGTTAGAGAAGTTATGGGTAAAGTTGTAGTAAGCTCTGGTTCTTCTGTTCCAGTTCATAGTTTAGAAAACTGACATTTGGCTCCCTCTGAAGACATTAGAGGTAACTAACTTTATGAGGGGAAAAATGCAATAGTAATCAATGTCATAGGAACCAGAACTATAACAGTTGCTAAGCATTACAACACCACAGCATCTCTAAGAATGGCCTTTGATTTGATTTTATATTTCTTTCGATTTTAATTTTGTTTTAATGGACTTTTATTTGTACCTGTTTTAAATTTGCACAATGCACAATTTAAGGGCCGAGGAAAAGGTGGGATATACATATTTATTTATTTCATTTATTTCAAACATTTGTAACCCACCCTTCTCAAACCCTTGCAGGGGGACTCAGAGCATCATACAAATAATGAAATATGGCTTCTTGTCCATTTTAAGCCCAACTGAGATGTAAGTTTGTAATGGGAGTGAGCTACATAAGGAAAAAAGAACTACATTCTAGTAAGTTCTGGTTTATTTAATTACGAAGACCCACCACCTGATTTCCTGCTAAAAAGACTTAAAAAGCAGCAATCATTGCTTACAGGGGTAGGGTTCTCTTCAAATGTCTTTGGCTCAGATCTTGAGTCAAGCTCTTTCTTGATTTCTTTCCTGAAAAGAAAAAAAATATTGGAGGTTTGCACAGAATGTGAGCCAACAGGAGCATTTATTTCAAGAACAAGCAAATGCGACCACGAATGACCTAGGAACAAATTCAAAGACTGAATAGTGTAACGTGAAATGGATACCTATCTGAGTCTTGCCAATGATCTCTGCTGCCTCCATCTCCAGGAGAACGGCTAGAGCTCCCACTTCGCGCTTTAGGAATACTCTCCTTTCCACCATCGGGTCTGTTTTCATCTCCTGAAACAAGCGGGGAGAAAAAAATCCTCATTATTCTTGCACACAGCAACCTTCTATCTAAAGGAATTACAAGCTGAATACGAGTATTCCTCCAACTGTAATTTATGCCTACATAGTCCACTTGGTTTAGCCACTGTTTAATAACATCCCAACACTAGCAGCACACCTATCTCAAATTAACGTCAATTTCAGTTAGATTTATAGCATGCCTGTACTTGCTTTTTGTTTGACTGTCCCTGTTTTTTATATATATAAAGTACATAAAATAAAATTGATGAGCGGAAGGTCCTGTAAATTTCTGTAATTTGAAAGGAAGAGCACTTCTAAGAATGTTCTATTTCCAAGTCATATCTCCCATTTTAAACTTTAGCATCTGATAGCTTTTCCCACTATCACTTCTTAATGAACCCAGAGCTTCAATTACTCCTGATCAGTTTCTCTACTAGTTGTTGTGTAGTTCAACATAATAAAATAGAATTAGAACCTGCCTGCAATGAGAGGATATTAAGGGTGGAATCCCATCTACCTGTAAGTAAGGTCAATGAACTAAATGGAAGTTCTGAATAAACAATCCTGGAAGGGTGGGACCAATTCCCTTTCAGACAGGAATTTCAGACAGGAAAATGCTGTATCATACCACTTGCTATTTCCCAGTCAAACCATCACTTTTAGTAACTTTTAGAATCTTCTTTCTATATAAATAAAAATGCAATGTTCGTTTGTGTGATTAACATAATTCAAAAACCACTGGATGAATTGACACCAAATTTGGACACAAGACACCTATCAGGCCAACGAGTGACCACCACTCACAAAAACACTGAGACTTTAAAATCCAAAAAACAAAAAATACATTACAAAACATGCACAAAATCACACATACAGACATATACATACAAAAAACACATATTTATAGACTGGGCCACAGCAATGCGTGGCAGGGGACAGCTAGTTAAAAATATAAGAGCAGCCTCCTGCAAGTAAGACTGAAAAGGCACTAAACTGGTAATCTATAAGATTTGTACATGGAACGGCTAAGTCTATGTAAACGGACGAGGAATTTGGATTGGTAGACATGGGTTTTGTATTGATTTTTATAGCTTTATAGTTTTTGTGGATTTTATATGTATTTATGGTGTGTTTTAATTGTTTTTTTTATTGATATATGTATTTCTATATGGCATCTAATTGTTGCCGATCTTTATGCCGACCTGAGTCGCCTTCGGGCTGAAATGGGCAGGATATAAATGTCGTAACTAAAATAAATAAATATCCATAAAGGAGGACCTTCTTGAGTCTCACTGCCTTTGGATACATGCTTGTTAGGGGAATAAGAAATGGCTGTTTAAGTGGCTAATGCATGGCTCCAGAACTCCCTTGCCAAAAAGGCTTGGCTGGGCCCCTGTTATCTCCCTATAAGCAGACTAAGACGGTTTTTTACGCACATGCCTTCCATGCTGATAAAAGAGTTTTAACTGACTGGGTGCTGTTTTTTTTTTTTTTTTGCAGTCTATGTATTTTATGTGTTCTTTTTATTTTCATGCCTTTATGTTGTTTTTGTTTTATATGAATTTTACTACAGTGGAGAGTTTTCTGTGCCATTGTTTCAGCAAAAAGGCAGAACATGAAGTAAATAAGGCGAACATGCAGTGAAATCAAGATAAAGAAAACACTCAAAAGCTTCTCAAACTACAGTGAATTTATAACTGCCTCTCAGTTAACATCTTAAAGAATTCTGCTGCCCCCTTCTGGAAAGACAAATAATATAAAATTTGGCTGATTTCATTCTTTTTTAAAAATATATATTTTATTGGTTTTCTTAGAATACATCAATACCTTCAATACTCTTATATTCCATCCTTAATTCATTACATCAACTATAAGTGTATATATATCTTGTGTGTGTGTGTCACCTCTGTGCCCCCCCCCCTCCGAGCCACTTCAATTTACATTCTTTCTGTAGTTAAAGAGCTATGCTATTGATTGCTTTTGTTCTTATAAGGGAGAAACTGACTTCACTGGGCTGACCATGTTGTCCGAATGCCCAATCATTGCCTCCCAAAGCAATTACTTTACTCTCTGTTCAAGAAGGGAAAATGAAGCCTTGGTGGACAGCAAAAAAAATATTTAAAGATGGCCTTAAAGCTAATCTTTACAAAAACGTGGAATAAACACCAAGAACTGGGAAACCCTGGCACTCACTCATTGTAACTGAAAATCAGCTGTTACCAACAGTGCTATGGCTACTGAAGAGGCATGAATACAGGATGAAAAGGAAGGCGTATGAAGCAAACCCTTGTTGTGACTCTCTTCTACCTGGAAATCTAGGTCCTCAATGTGAAAGACCATCTATAGACCACTTTACCCGTGGAAAACAATCACACTCAGCCATGAGTAATATCAATTAACAGAGACAATATGATGTAGTGGAATAACCATTGGAGTAGGCCTGCAGGAGACCAAAGATTTCACCTTTGCTCAGTCATGGAAACCAACTGGATAACCTTGGGTGAGTAATAATAATAATAATAGCTATTTATATCCCGCCCTCTCTCCAAACAGGACTCAGTGCGGCTTAAACAGCAGAAAAGCACAGGAATAAAGCATGATACATACACTCTCAGTCTCAGAAGAAGGCTACACTAAACCACCACTGAATACATTCTGTTAAGAAAACCATAGGATAGGGTCTCTATAAGTTGAAGTCAACATGAAGTCACCCATAGCATCAAGAGAAATTGCAAAAGTTGTGGATTTATTGACTGGTTTTCTTTTTATTTATATTTTTAACTGCCCCGAAGACATTGTTCTCCAGCTTATCCTCATTTAAAACCAATCTATTTTTCAACGTGCCACAATTGAGACACTGGGTAATTATCGTAGTTACTCCTGATTGGCAGGGATGTGAGGGATCTGCACATCATGAGCGGCAACCCACATTTCTGAAACAAAAGATGGAAGTGCTATGATTCATACCCAACCAAGCCACCTAGGCAGTTGAGACATACGTACGGCATATACTTAAAAACAAGCCGAGTATTTCAGCCCTTTTTGGGGTGCTAAAAAAGCCCACCTCGGCTTATTCTTGAGCCAAGGTATAATTCAGGGTGGGAGTCTGAGGGAAATATCTCTGAAGCCGGCTGGCGTTGGGCTGCATGGAGCGGACCGGAGGAGGAGGCTGCTGCTGGTCCTCCTCCTCCTCTAGCCCGCTCCATGGAGACAGACAGGTCACTGGTCAGGGCAAGGGAGGGGAGTGGGGCACTCTGCACATGCCCTGGTGCACCCTGTCTGTCATCTTAACATGCCGAGCTGGAGGGCGGGTGCCTGCACTGAGGAGGAGGACATGGAAGAGCTGGGCTTCTGTGAAGGAAGGCAGGAAAGATGGAAAAAAGGAAGTCCCCAGGCCTATGCAAGAAGGCCAGAAGCAGGGAGGGAGGGCAGGAAGGGATGAGAAAGGGGGTGTGGCCTGGTGCAAGCTTCAGCCTTCCTGGAGCCTTGCAAAAACATCTCCTGGAAGCAAGAGGTGCTTTCGTTGTGCTTTTGCAAGGCTGCAGGAAGGCTGAAGCTTTAGTATTTTATTCTGTACATGTGGCCTGCTCACTGTTACTGTGTTATGAATGATTTTATTTTAATTTTATATTTTTTGCTGTATTTTTATGTTTTATGTAATTTATTATGTCATTGTTTGTTTTTGACTTCTTTTATTGTATTGTGTTGTAGGGCCTGGCCTCATGTAAGCCGCCCCAAGTCCCCATCGGGGAGATGTTGGTGGGGTATAAAGTTTATTATTATTATTATAATACTTCAAATGTTATGCATTTGAATTTTTAGGATTTTAAGTTTTAAGGATTTTATGTTGGGGCCTTGAGTGGGGAAAGAAAGAATAAAAATCTCCAATGTAAAAAAATGTAAAAAATGTATGCACTTCACACAGAAATATTATGTACGTCCTAAACATTTCCAATGTAAGGAAAGAGAGGCTGCATGCACACAGAGTGTAAATTCTCAGCTGTTCATCCACTGCTGCTTCTCAAAGGCTGCTGCACTCTAGTCTTACCTTTCCTTGGGGTATTCTTAGGGAGCACTCCATCTTCCGGTGAGAGGGATGGCATTGCCTGGCTGCCACTGCATGGAAATACAGGTAGAACAGTTGTCATTTCCTAAAACTATACATGTTGAGGAACTTGGTTTTTGCTCTAAAAGTAAATTAGACGTATGTTGAAGGTTTCATTCCTCATATACAGGCTGGAATCATGTACCTCCTAAATGTTGGTCAATTACAATTCCCAGCAGCCCTGGCTATTGGCACTCCTAGTTTGGGCTGATGGTATTTGGGAGTTCAACACCTTCTGGATAGCTGTGTGATCCCACCCCTGCTCTAGTGAAAAGCTACCTTTTAACCTTTATAAATTGCAAATAGCCAGTTTAGGCCTAAAATAAAGAAACTGGCTTCAGAGCTGAACTGAATTCAGTACAAGCATCAGGAAGGTCTTTCTCAGAAGCCAACATGTGCTCCATAGGAAACAATCCAATCACATCCTTTACCCAAGAAGCAAACCCTATACATTTTTCAAACTGATCTTCATCTTCTTCTTCTTCTTCTTCTTCTTCTTCTTCTTATTATTATTATTATTATTATAGCCTTTTAGACAAGTAGGCTTGTCGACATCGGTGGTAAGCTTGCCCTTAGGCTTAAACATTTAAAAAGGACACTCAAGAAAAGAAGGATGGAAAAGGAACAACATGTAGCCACCAACACCAGCTCACCTCTGTTCAATCCTGCTCTGAAAGTCTATGCATGTAAATGTAGTTTTAAAATTCTCTACTGTTTAACTCATGGCTCTACATTTAATTCAAAGGCATGAAGAATGTGAAGCTTGGTTGCTCATGGCCCTGCACAAGAGTAGCAATTGCATGCAGTCAGTTGTGGGAAGAACATTAACCAATATGAGCATCTTTGGCTCTATTAAACACAACCCCAGAATCCCCAGCTGAAGCCACGGAGCTCTAGTTCAAAAAGAGTGGGTTTTTTTCCTAACTGATGGAGGGCATGTGGCCTGGAGCTCCTCCCAATTTCTCAAGAGTAAGAGAAGCAGACTGCATATGCAAATTAAGTCAAGGGCTTGTATATACAAACTGAATGAGCTAAAGGAAACAGGAGCCACTTAGCAAAACAAGCTGAAGAAACAAACTCAAACAGAATCCAATCTCTTATGGGAACCAGATGAGGAGCAGACCAGCAGAGACCTTTTGTTGCTTCAAACTTTGTGACTGTGTATCAGTAGTTAATAACAGTCTGCGTACATGCTTGGCCTGCATTATAATTACAGCTTTAGAGTTAATTTCAAAATCCCATTTCATTCCATACACACTAAGTTGTAACAGTTCGCCTTTTCAAAAGAAGCCTAGAATTTATTTTTGTTACAGATGAAACATGACAACATGTTAAAAACGGAAAGTGGCTATCTGAATAAATGCCAACAGAGAAGCAGACAACTGGGCCACTTCAGTTCACAGTAACTTGTGTGTTATGTTCATGAACATCAAGAATGTCAGATTGCAGAGTTGTATTATCTCAACAAAAGGGTCAGATGCTTTATGGTCCTCTTGGCCAAACATGTTTGCAGACCGTACATGACTGTAACGCCCAACACCTCAGATAAGTGGACATACTGGCGGGGGCAAATGGCAGTTGCAGTCCATGAACAGTTACAATCCACTCATGATCCGCCCTATTCTTATTCCACAATTATGAATTCAACTTTACAATTTAGGGGTTATTTTGATTCCTAACCTAACCCAAAAACAGTTCCTAGTATATCCTACACTTCCAAGTCATCTTTCTGCAACCTTGTTCTCCACAAGCTTTACATATTTTAAAACTGTAATTTGGAATCAACAGGATTCTATCAAGTCTTTAAAGGTAATCTCTGTGTGGGAGAGACATACTCAAGGGCATGCCCCAGCCTCCACAGACCCTCACCTTGTGGGGGAATGCTGGTCTGAGTCGGAGCTCTGTGAGCGCGCTGGGTGCGAGTTGCTGCTGCGTTTCACCCAGGCATTTTCTTTCGGTGGAGGAGCTGGCATCACCTTCAGGGGAAGCTTCTCTTCTCTGGGAGACTTGGAGGTGGGAGACAGACCTTCATCGTCTTTGCTGATGCTTTCATTTTCCAATGATTTCTCACTCTCCCTCCTCCGTGAAGCTAGAAAGCATGACAATATGTGAGTAAAGTAGGAGGGCTTCCGTTTTGTGACTGAAAGCAAATTCTTCTGGATCACCTTTCAAGCATTTCCGAACTTGCTGACAATGCTTCAGCAATACTAAGTAACGCTGTCAGTTTACACATTGTATATTATAAGGGCAGAACAAACCCAAACTGTTCTATCGATAAAATACAGACAACAGAATTGTACACTCTAAAGTAGAGGTCCTCAAACTAAGGCCCGGGTCTGGAGAGCAAGTCCTATAAGGAGCAACTTAAAGAGCTGTTTAGCCTGCAGAAGAGAAGACTGAGAGGAGACATTATGGCCATGTATAAATATATGAGGGAAGTCATAGGGAGGAGGGAGCAGGCTTGTTTTCTGCTGCCCTGGAGACTAGGATGCAGAACACGGGCTTCAAACTACAGGAAAGGAGATTCCACCTGAACACGAGGAAGAACTTCCTAACTGTGAGAGCTCTTCAACAGTGGAACTCTCTGCCCCAGAGTGTGGCAGAGACTCCTTTTTGGAGGCTTTTAAGCAGAGGCTGGATGATCATCCGTTGGGGGTGCTTTGAATGCGATTTTTGTGCTTCTTGGCAGGGGGTTGGACTGGATGGCCCATGAGGTCTCTTCCAACTCTATGATTCTATGATTCAAAGTAATGTTACATTGCTCCCAGTTCCATTGCTACGCCCAGTTCCAAGTCAGTATTCAACTGAATGCAGTACCTTCAAATTTCACTGACAAATGCAACCAGCTTTCCCCCGCTAACAATCTAAAAATGAAAATTATAAATCAAATAAGGGGCTGGGTATTATATGAGAATGGCATGTTGCTATTCTTCTGAATGAATAGGCTTCCAAAAGCCTGACCACAAAAGAATGGCACTGCACTCTGGAAAATACAATGGATAACTTGCCTTTCTTCCAATTTCAAAGGTACAGAAATGAATTGGGATTTGCTTGGCAGAAGTACAGTCATCACTGCTATCTCCTCAGCTCCACAGTTGGGTGGAAGGCTGGGGGTGTTCGATAGCTGCACAGCCAAGGAATATGGATGCAACTTGGAAATCCACGGCTGACTTAACAAATCCTTTCCACAAGTGCAGAGTACAAGTACACTTTAACATGGCTAAAGGAATATGTTCCCCAATCTCTTTAGCCTGTATTTTCAAGCTGTGGTACTCCCTGATAAGACCAACCCAAAACTGCTAAGTCCTATTAATAAGTCTACAGCATAAACAAAAACACAGTGAAGTTAACCATATAACATGTCTAACTCCCTCCTTGAGGGATCTTCTCTCTAACATGAAGGCTGTATTAATATGCAAATACACTGACTGCAACCTGCTTTTTCTCTGAACAGACCTGCTGATGAGTTTGGGTTCTAAATAACAGAAAGCTATAAAACATTAATATTGTTGTGTATTATAAATCCCTATATCCCCCATTTTTCAAATTTATACACACAGTGAACTTGCCTGATAGATAAAATGCAATACAACAAGATTGGTTCTAATTAGGGTAAATAGCAGGGCTGATCAGAAACATGCTTTTATAACTTGCTTGACAGAATTGCAACTTGACTTCAACTTACTTCTCCCTGTTGGGCCCGTCCCCACAGAAGGAGTTGTACTACCAGTTTGTGAGGACTCGCTCCCAGTCCGTGACCGCTCTTGATTATCTTCACTACGCCAGCTGGGGTGCCTAGAGCATGCACAAAGTAGCAAAGGTTACCTAGGCTATTTATGAAACACTGGAAAAATCAGGCACAAATAACTGCATGCAAAACCATAGTTAAATCTAATGGAACCAATGCTCAGTGTGGATGGGAAAATGTTTTCTTTATACAAAGCTTAGATGAATCACATCGTGGGAAAGATGTTCTTTGTGCCTACATTTTCCATAATCTCTGGAGTCGGTATAATCTGTTGTGACATTGGTGGCACACTAACATTTTCAGGACCTGGCCATGGGAAATTGACTAGATGACGTAATGCTTTTATTCAATATGGCAAGGGTTTGGTTTGAAAAAAGTACAGAGAGCAAGGGATGCTTGTATCAAGTTATACTGAATAGAAATTAAGGCTACATTGTTTGGCGCGGGGGGGGGGGGGGGGTCAAATCGCAATTGTAGGCTTGGTCTTGTAGCTGCATAGCCTTAGCCTATCTTTGTGGTTTGGAAAACAACACAGTTTATATAAACTTGGGAATTGCAGACATCTACACTGAGCCCCTGGTGGCGAAATGGGTTAAACCCTTGTGTCGGCAGGACTGCTAACTGAAAGCTCGGCAGTTCGAATCCAGGGAGCGGGGTGAGCTCCTGTCTGTCAGCTCCAGCTTCTTATGTGGGGACATGAGAGAAGCCTCCCATAGGATGGTAAATATCCAGGCCTCCCTTGGCCATGTCCTTGCAGACGGCCAATTCTCCCACACCAGAAGCAACTTGCAGTTTATCAAATAGTTCCTGACATGAAAAAAAAACCTATATTGAGCCTGAATCATGCCAGATTAAGGTTTGCATGCCACTCAACATGCTACTGCCCCCTATTGGGATTGTTCACACGACAAACCCATCCTTGTTACTCACCGTTCTCTGGGCCGTCGTTCCAGCCTGGGTTTATCATCTTCCAGTTGACGCTGCAGCTTCTCTTGCTCCTTCTGTAGCCTCTCTTCTACTTCACGCTCCCTTGCAGCAGTGTCCACTGGCTTAGCCCCCCCAAAGATGGAGGCGGCACGGCTAGACTGACTAGCAGGCGCCACGGATGTATCTTCCTCCTTGGGGGTGCTCCGGGGCTTCAGGTTCAATTTCGGCCTCTGAGTGGGACCTTAAAGGGAAAGCAGGAGAGGGAGTTGGGCAAAATGAACAGCGCAGAAACAGTAAATGGAAAAGTAGACAAGTGACTGTAACACAAAGGAAAATTAACAGCAAGAAAATTATGAAAATCCTAAATGAGTGGGAGAGAATTAAAGATTGGCTTGCACATCCCATTTCCACCAAATGAAGATCCTGAAAATACACACAAGTCAGGACAAAAACCAGAGACCAAAAAGAGCCATAGAATTATAGAATAACCCTTTAACCAAAAAAAGCAATTAACCATTCTGCATACATTTTCCTTCAACCATGTGTTCTGTCAGGATATTGTATATATTAATGTGGGGGTGTAATGGAAGAGAAGAAAAAAGTGGGAGACAAAGAAATTGCTGTAGATGGCCTAGAGTCAAATTCAAAACAATTTGCCTTACCACTGCCATTTAGCATTCCAATAGAATTAAGGGCAGAAAAACTACTGTAGCAATACACAAAAACCACAGCATCAAAAAGGTCCTCTTTTCTGGATTTACCTCTATCATCCCGTCGGCTGTCATCCCTGCTATAGTCATCTCGTGAACTGCTCCACCGATCCATCCGGTCATCCCGCCTATCGTAACGGTCCTCATAACGGTCCCCACCGCCCCTGAAATCATCATCACGACGGTATCCACTGCCAAAGGCTCTTCTGCTACTGCCTGACCTTGAGTCAAAGCCTGCAGGGAAGTGAAGTCACAGTGATTTAGAAATCTGAGAAGCCACGAGACAGCTATGAAAGGATTTCCCCAGGAGCATAACCACATAGTTAAAACAAGCTGCTACTAGCAAAATAAAACAACGCTAAGAGAGCAACATTTCAGGTGTAGATAAATACCGCAAAAATACTGCATATAACTTCTACATAAGGATAAAAAAAATTCCTCCCACTTCAGTTGAAAACCTTGCCCAAAGCAAGGTTTAATGAATATTCAGTAGTTGAGACTTCAGTCATGTGCAATATCATGTAATCCTGACTTCAGAGACTAGGTCATTCAAACATGGAAAAAACACATAAGAAACCAGGAACAATTAACAGCTAGAAGGGATCCTCTCATGGTCAATGTACCTCTAAACGATACAATATCCAGGTGGTGGAAAAGTGCTGCAGGCAGAGAAAAGCATGAAAGTGTACCATCTCCCTCTCTCTCTCTTTCTCTTTATATATATATGTGTGTGTGTGTGTGTGTGCAGGAAATAGTAGCATAATTTACTTCCACAATTTACTTCCACTGCTAGACCAACAGGTGAGCTTGAAACACAAAAGCAAAGCAAAACCCATTTGTTAGAACTCAAAGAACAAATTTTCTACCAGCTCAGAACAGCTTCTCTACCAATAATTTCCCAATTATTTTCAGCTTCAAGAAAGACCTTCCAACGTCACCTCACCATACACACAAAAAGGACTGTACTCCAATAATCTTAGCAACAGGAAAGGGAACATGAAAGAAAGACAGCAGAGCAAGAGAAGCAAATTGTAGATCAGATATGCCTACATGAGATTCCATTTAATTTCCTGGCCTACAAACAAAGCGTATGACTCAAAGTACCTCCTCTATCATAATCCCTACTACGGTCATCATAACGATCTCTGCCACCAAAACGGTCCATCTCTCTTCGGGGACCATCACGGTACCGATCCGAATCATAACGGTCACGGTCCCGATACCCTAAAAAAGAAAAGAAACTTGTAGCAGTCGGATTTTAATTTTAATTACCTTTAAAATAGGCAGAAGACGAGGAACAGGCAAGTCCTATCCACCTCACGGTTGACATTTTTACTGAATTATATATGAAAGCATTTAAATTGTACATTCTACTGAAGTTCAAAGTAGGCAATATGGCTAAAGCAGGTGTTAAAAGACAGGTGTTCTTTGACAAGTCGTGTCAAAAGTATCTGAATGTTATTAAAATTGACAGAGTCTGGATCAGAAACTGTAAAATTAAATTAAATATTAAAACATAAGGTAAATGTAAAGGTTTTCTCCTGACATTAAGTCTAGTCATGCCTGACTCTGGGGGGTGGGTGCTGCTCATCTCCATTTCTAAGCTGAAGAACCGGCATTGTCCGTAGACACCTCCAAAGTCATGTGGCCAGCATGACTGCATGGAGCACCATTACCTTCCCGCAAAAGCGGTACCTATTGATCTACCCACATAAGCATGTTTTTGAACTGCTAGGCTGGCAGAAACGGGGGCTAGCAGTGGGAACTCACCCCCCTCCCTGAATCCAAACCATCAACCTTTTAGTCAGTAAGTTCAGCAGCTCAGTGGTTTAACCTGCTGCACTACCAGGGGGCCCAAATATTAAAATATATATACTTTATTTTTAATTTTTAAAAGTCAATGGTACAAAAGATCACAATCTAATCTTGTAACAGGTAGGCCCTTCAACTGAGGAAGGTAAGTCAGAAGATCACAGTAAATTTAGTTTTAAACCCATATATAGGAAGCCAGAAAAGGATGAGAGAAAACCTAGCATGATTGGCAGTGAACATCTGCATAGCAAACAAGCAAGTCACTCATGTACTTACTGTCTCCAAAGCTGTCCTCTCCCCTGCGGGGAGGGTAGTCATCAAAGTTATCCGTAGCAGGGCGAGCCCTCCAGTCAGACTCAAATCTTTCTGAATCCCGGTTGCGATCACGGTCTCTACCAAAGGAGCGATCATCCCGATCTGCAGAAGGAAAAAAAAGGGACTCGAGTGTTAAACGCCATCACTTAGTCCAATGATTCAAATATATCTACAGAGGATATTTTAAAATCCTCTTAATCAAAATAGATATTGTTACACCATTCATAAACAGAATGTATTGCTCCATTAAAAACTGGTTGCAGCAAATACTTATTTTGGTCAGGGCTAAACATGTGCCTCCTTCTAAATCACTGTGATAAAAAGGACAATGGGAAACAGGAGTAACCTATTTAATTAACAAAGCAATAATCCCTGGACCTGTATGGCATTTTTATGGCACGACAATACAATGTTCATATTTGAGGTAGAAGGCTTCTGGCTCAATATGTTCTTGGCAGCTATGCAGCCCACATTTTTCTCTACTCACCAACATCAGACAGGCTGCTTTAAACAGAATAGTGGGCATTTCCAATGGTAGCTAGAGATTAACATTAGAGTTCCACCGGGGGGTGGGAGGGGGGTGGAGTACTGCATTTCTTAATGAAGTAGCCATGTTGAACAGAAGGGCAGGTGTATAAGATAAAGTATGATTATGACAACAGTGATTTGGTGAAGGAAGATCAAATGCGATCCCTCCATTTCTATATACATTTATCCTGGTCCCTGATATTCGATAGACAGCCACAGAATACCCCAACAATCTAGTTTCCAAATTATTTCTTTCTAGAAGAATGCAAACCACATAGCTTTCCAGATGTTTTTGGAATGCAAGTCTATGAAGCCTTGGCCAGCACAGCCAATTGTGAAGAATGCTGGGAGTGATTGTCCAACAACATCTGGAAGGACACATAATTCCACCTCTGGATTATGTACACATTATCCTAACCCTTGAAAAAAATCACCTCTTTGCATATTAGTTTGTGACCTTCTTGACCTGCCTTGTGAAATTTTCTAGGCCTCTCATCAATGAAATTGTACTAGAAAAAAAGAATAAATTATTTTGTGCTAGTAGATAAGACGAAAGCTATTGGTTTTATAGCTTCTTTGCAGGTTTTTATACATAGATTTAACTGGTACAAGACAACCTCTACTTACTGAGCCAAAGTTCTTACCTTTATCCTGAGCTTGATCAGCAACATCCACTCGTATTCTCCTATTTCCTAGAGACTTGGTAGAACAAAGAAACATTAGCTTACATCCAAATAATAAAGTGTCCAAGGAGCTTAAAGTCATCTTTAGCTAATCCACGAACTAACACTAAGTAAATGGATGCTCCAGCAGCTATAAAACTTTGCAGAAACTACTGTAGAAGAGAAACTTGCATAAGATCTATGCATGCTTTACTAATAACCACACTTTAATGACTATTACTGGCTTAAAGTTACATATAAAGATCAACAACAACAAAAAGTTCTAAGTATAGTACAAATTATGTGTTCTCTTTTACTAGACTAAAAAGAGTTTCAGAAAACACCATCCAGACTTTAGTGCCAGGATAATTTGTCAAGCATCTGGAGATAAAGCATCTACTTTGGCTCTACTTTGCCAAAATTACACCATATGCCTCATAAGAAACCAGCTTCGCCATTTACAAGAAATAGACTTGGGTAATTTAATCTGTGTTTGAGTCAAACAACTGCTGTGCTGTTTCCCCACAATTCAATTGTTTCTATTCCACTGGGTAGGAAGGCAGGAGGAAAAGACATGCATGCATGGAGTATAAAGGGAAGTCAGAATGAGATTAAAAGAATTAACTCCAGAAAAGACAGAGAGCTATTACTCTGCAGGCCTTAAGCGATTGAACTTCTGAATGTGAATAACTTTTGAAACAGACCTTTTGATTTACTCTTATCATTCAGAGTCAATGTTGTTTTTATTTGATTGAATCTCAAAATCCAATTAAAAATCTTTAAAGGATTTTGGGGTGGGGGACAGTATTCAATGTGTGCCAAGCTTCTTCACAGACCAGTATTTTTTTAAGTCCTGGCATTACACACATTCTGCAGAAATAAAAAATCATAATACTATAGAAGTACTTTCATATACAAGTCATTTTTTCCGAAAGTGCTTCCAGTGGAGCCTTGGATCATTCTTAAAAGGTTTTCTTAAAGCTTTAATGCATCTTGTAGAAATATTTGCTCACCAGACTGCAAAAGACAACAGCAACTCTGATCTTGTCATTGTTTGAGCACTACCAACAAAATAGCCATTTCCAGAGTAATTATAAAGCCTTGGACATTTTACTGGGGTAATCCAAATTTTTCTCATGTTTGGAAGCTGTCTCTCAACGCCAGTAAGTGTTAAAACGTAAGAATGCAAGTTATAATAAATTCATACAACTCCCTTAGTTTGTGACAACTACAGGGTTTGTGACAACTCCCTTAGTTTGTGACAACTGCCAGTGTTTAACCAATAAAGGAATACTTCTTGTCGGCAGTAACCTCTGCCTTAGCAGCTTGGGTGAAACCTAGATGTGGGGCAGAAGTGTTACTGTAATGCAGATTTTTCCAAAAAGTATATTTAAAGCTACAATTCCAATAATCTCCTATCCAACAGAGCCATATTGGCTGGCAAATTCCATGAAATCTGGTTCCAAAAAAAGTGATTTTTCCACAGTGTACTTTTCAAGATACACTCCAGTGTCTATTCCAAAAGCACAATGAAGCTTGGACCTTAGTTGGAGCATGCCACTCCAACAGAGAAGCTCACTACATGGGACACAATGGCATCAGTTATAATAGTCCCAGTGTAAAGAATAGGCATTTAAGCATACATAGCTGGTTACACAAATAATTCAAGCTGCTGCTCAAATCGTGTATGGAGTCTAGAAGACTGCAACTCAACAAGTTTTCACAGTCTGCATAATCACCCTCATTTCAGTTATTGATAGAAAGCCAGTGCCTTTTATACACTGAAAGATTTATATTCGCTGCAGCCTATTACTGGACACTTTTTTGAATTTTGCCCAAATGATCCAGGCATGATTGCAGATACACCTGCAAAAATGTAGTAACATTCTACTTGTCCTTGAAGCCTCAGAGGAAGGAGAGATCAGGCCACAATGGCAGTGATACAGCACTTCCAGGCACAGTTCAACTTACCTCTTCATTGAGACTCAACGCATGGAGCAAGGACTCCAAATCTTCAAACTCAGCATATCCAAATCCTTTCAATCTCTCTGGATTACTAGGTTCTCGAGGCAAACGAACAGCACTTATCTGCAGTTGAGCAAAACGAGGAAATATTTTTCAGTGATCATCTCCCGAGAATGGTGATACCAGAGTAGCCATCAGTTGTCACATTATATGGGTTACATCAGGAAATAAAATTCATATTTTTATTTGAAAAATATGGTTAAATTTTCTGCAGTATGAAGATTTCAGGGTGGTTAGTCATGCCAGTACAGAAAACACAGCTTAATTTGGAAAGGAAAGGAAATTAGGCGTAATGCCATGGAGTTAAGACAGATTTCAAGATGGGAGAAGAAGGGGCATGGATGTTACTGAGCTCCATTGGCAAATGCTATGGAATTTCCCTCTGGAGAGGGTGGAGTTAGTTATACCTGCCCCATAAAATGCAGCTCCTCATGAAGGGACTGCAAGGAGTGGCAGTTGTCACAGGTAGAGTGGAGGGCTGGAGGTGGGGATAATGGAACATCTAGCTCAAACACTGGATACCAAGCTTTTCTTAAACAGGCTCGAAGTTTGTCCATCTCATTTTTGAAAACATTTTTATTATAAAGATTTGGATTACTTAAAGAAGCCATCTTTGCTCTGGGTTGAGCAGGAGACTTAAGGAGTCCCCTGATTCTATTTAACGAGACTAAGTACACCAGAAAAGAGGAGAGAAACATGTTTCGAATTCAAAAAGTCTAAATTTATTTATTTATTTGAAACATTTATATTCCGCCCTTCTAACCCCGAAGAGGACTCAGGGCAGAGCACAACATATATACGGCAAGCATTCCACGACGGGACATAAAATAACAATAAATATACATAAACACTAAAATCAGTTATATCTACTTTAAAATCAGTTGTGTAAAATCATCTCAAAACACCATGCTGGCTGGGTTTCCTATTATTGCCTTATTTCACTGTCCCAAAGGCTTGGTCCCACAGCCAGGTTTTCACCATGTTTCTGAAGGACAGGAGGGAGGGGCCCGATCTAACCGACCCTCTGAGGATTTTTTATCTAATTGCTAAATGCGAAATTAACTATGTTCAATGTTAAAGGAGTGCTAAATATATAAATCAGATGACCAGATTCTTTAGAAGACACAGGGCAGTTTTAAAGACTACTGCAGCAACATACCTCTCTACCAACCCTGCATTCACATTGCTGCAAGACCAGACTGGCACTTTGTATTTTATACTGCTGAAGTTTGGATAAATTAGACAAACAAGATTATTGAAAAGCACCACAAAATTATGCTCACTTTTCCCAGACTGGCTTGAGGACAACAGCACAGAAGATCCGTGATGCTATTCTTAAATTTAAGGTATCTTTAACATGCCAAATGTAGTTTCAAAACATGATATTTGTCTACTGGGAATTGTAATCAGGCTTCCTGCGTACTGAATGATACCAACAAGTCCTGAATGGCAGAATTCAGAGGAAAAGAACATCGATATATTTTTTGTACAAAATCTTCTCAGAGTGACATTTGCATTGGAACGTTTTGACTTACCAACTATCCAAACTATCTCTCAAAATTAATAGGCCAATCTATAACATAATATAATCTGAAAACAAAGACCGTTTGCACCTTCAAACGTCTGTGCTATTAAACGACAAGCAATGTAAAAGTCAAGATAGAAACATAGAATCATAGAGTTGGAAGAAACTTTGTGGGCCATCCAGTCTAATCCCCCTCCAAGAAGCAGGAAAATCACATCCAAGGCACCCCCGACAGTTGGCCATCCAGCCTCTGTTTAAATGCCTCCAAAGAAGGAGCCTTCACCACACTCCAGGAGATAGAGTTCCATTGTTGAACAGCTCTCACAGTTAGGAAGTTCTTCCTAATGTTCAGGTGGAATCTCTTTTCCTGTAGTTTGAAGCCATTGTTCTGCAACCTAGTCTCCAAGGCAGCAGAAAACAAGCCTGCTCCCTCCTCCCTATGACTTCATCCCTCACATATTTATACATAGCCATCATGTCTCCTCTCAGTCTTCTCTTCTGCAGGCTAAACATGCACAGCTCTTTAAGCCACTGCTCATTGGGCTTGTTCTCCAGACCCTTGATCATTTTAGTGATCATTTCTTAATTTTAAAGGGTACTCAGCAGATAAAAAACAGTGCTAAAATAACAAACTGAAAAGACAGTTTTATTTCACAGAGATTTACAACCATGGAAACCTTACAGGTTTTGTGCCAGAAGTATGTTTTAGAGATCAGGAATTTGAAATTCCCCTGACATTATAATTGAACTCAGTTTACCACAATAATATTCCCAAGTATACATGGTTCACACTTCTTCATAAGCTCACATTTTTCTGGATTCCAATGAATGCTTTCCAGCTATTTTCATATGACACTAAAAAAAAAAAGGGGGGGGGGGTATTATTATTTAAGAGAAATCTTCACTACATACTCACATTAAGTCCTCTGAAAAAATCCTTGATAGACTCTTCTGTTACATCATATGGTAAGTTTCCCAGAAAGGCAGTGTAGGGGGGTGATTTTGGGAGACGGCTTCTGTCAATATTGGGCTCCCGAGCTGCCCGAGGTGCAGTCGGCAAGATGGAACGGTCAATTGGAGGGGCTCGATACATGTCATCATCGTTGCTATGCCAGGTGGTGGAAACTAGGAAGAAAAGTTTGCACATTAGTGTCTGTTACAATGTTTATAACTAACAGCAGACCGTTACTTAGTTAAGCTGACACCCATTAAATGTGCACAGCACATTTTGCAGCAAAGGGCTATTGGGAACTAGCTGAGAGGAAGAGAGTCTGCTGCAAAAATAGCACCATAGAGGGTAATTTTGAGTGAAGCAGCATTTCTTTACATTTTCAGCTTACAAGATGAATCCCCTACATAGGTGGTTCTCAACCTGTAGGTCCCCAGGTGTTTTAACCTACAACTCCCAGGAATCTCAGCCAGTTTACCAGCTGTTAGGATTTCTGGGAGTTGAAGGCCAAAACATCTGGGGACCCACAGGTTGAGAACCATTGCTCTACATCGAAATGTCACTTCACAGATGTCTATGCAGATGCAACCAAGGGGCAGTATGGCATACTAGTTTATAAAAACAGTCATGATTTTTCCTAACCAATGAATATTTTACTAGCTTGCTGGAGTCTGATAGAAGAGAGTTCTCAAGCTCCTTCAACAGCTGGCTAAATTTCTGTGCTAGATATGGAGAAGGAGGCTTCCCTCCAAACAATGAACTTGGTTTACATGCAGAATAAAGAAAAAAAGGTAGAAACTTCACCCCTTTTCTGCCAGCTTGAAAATTTGTTTGCACACCATTCCCTATCACTGGCGACTATCAGCTGTGTACCTAAATACAGGCCTCTTGGCTTGATGGCAAACAATGATGTAACTAGCAGAAGGCCTCTATCTTTCCACTGAGCAACTGCACCTTGACCCTGCTCCTCCCTCTTTTGCATACAGATATGCACACACATCAGAATGAAAGAGAAGTGCTTACAGGACAGATGCCAAAGCTTCTGCCCTGCAACTGAAATTCCAAGTGCTTCGCTTTTTGGAAATTAAATTCGGTGCATCTTCTTTGTGGGTACACGCATACCCCAATTAACAAATCTTGAACTTGTTTTGCAGCATCGACAGTAAAGACTACATCAAAGTTTGGACTGGAAAAGAACGGGCCTGTACTCTAGTTAATCCTACCTTATCTGCTAATGCACAAGGTAAATAGATGCATCCAGAATTACTTACTCTGTGTGTTTGTGTGAAGAGCAAAACGGAAAAAGGGGGCAAAGGAACCCTGCCTGCCTGACACATTAGTTACATTGGCATGCTGAAAAAGCAAAACTTCCACCATCAAATAATGAGAAAAATAGAGCGTTGAAAGAATGAAATCAGTCTGGGATACAGTCTGGAAGATTTCACCGGTCGCTCAAAATTCACAAAGTTTTGTTTACTTATGCAAGACTTACGCAACCTGGTTGTTTCATTTTGCACGTGTATGTTAGTTTTGATGAAATAATTGCTAAACAGTTTGAACTCTTATTTTTTGTAGTGTAGGACTCTATCACTATTGCTTCCATGTTATTTTTGCCTCTGGTTCTGTTAAAGAAGTCAAGGCCAGAAACAGATTTCCTATGTTAAATGGGGAATACCTACATACTGTGCACAATTAGGAAGTGTCTCACCACAAACCACTCCTAGTTTCTCCCCTCCTCTCCAAATGCTCTCCAAGAACAATATAGACACATACATGTTCACCCAACTTTTTCAAATTACTTGCCTGGGATAGATTCTGTTCTCCTCACTCCTCTCTACCCTGAACTTAACTGAATGAACACAATCCAATAAGCATTTCTTAGGGTTTTTAAATGTTTCCCCAAGAATTGGGGGGGGGGGGAGGGAGAGTGGGAATAACAGTCCCAAATAGAAGTTCTTTTTCTTGCAACTCTTTTTGAAGCTTACAGAATGGACATCTGGAGAATTGGGAACAAATTCATCAGAAGTGTAGAGCCAGGGAGAGTTGTAGAAGGAGGCATACAGAAAAGGAAAGAATTAAAAAATGGCGCAAACCAGGGAACTGAGGGTGTGGTGAGAAAAATGATTCAGAGATTAGTTTGTAACCCTAATGTGTAATACTTCAATAAGAGAAACAGCTGAATAGGGGAAATCCTGAGACTTTTTCTGGAGAACAAAATACCACAATTTTGCTGGAGGCTGTTTGCCAGAATTAATTCATAGTCACGATGTCAACTGTAATTGTTGAATCTACTGATCAAACACACTGAATAAAGCCTGTTCTTTTAAAGGAAAATACCCCAACAACAAACAACAGAAAAAGCTGACATGACAGAAAACACAGTGTATTGTGTTTATTACAGTTGCCATTTAACAGTATTTGTCACCCTGTTATTCAAACAGCATGGACAGAATTTCATACTGTAAATTTCACAAAACAACAATTATAAATCAGTAACTACCACACCTTTTACACTAAAAATGTAGGTGTGGTGTACATGAGTGGGCTCTGTTTTTCTTGGGTTTAAGGACAATACACAGAACTGATTTTGTGAAGTGCCCTTTCACCTATACATGGTCTGCCAAATCTGGGGTGGGGCTGAGGTTATTACAAAGGTGACTAACTGTAGAAGGAAGTGGGATCATATTTCTATAGTTTTCTGTTTTCAAAATATTTTAGATACAGCCAAAGGTCATGGTGACATCAAAAAGCAAAAGGTCTACCTCCTGTCATGGGCAAAAATTTAGAATCTAGTCAAAATTGAAGATTCCCCCAGTTGCAATATCTCTTGGTGTTTCTGCCACATTGTTTTCTTTTTTGAGAGAAAACTGCTTACTCAGATTCTGTTATCAGAAGCAGAACAGAGATGCTGTTAGCTCCTTCTAAAAAAGAATGTCTAAAAGATTAACAGGAATTTTAGTCTACGAGCAAATAAAGTGTTCAGCACAGACAAAGGTTCTATTACCGTTTAGGAATCAGGAAAATTCTGTCTTACCATCTCCTTCCAGGTCATCTGTCTCATCTGCCCAGCTAACTGGCTTTGGGGCATAGGTAGGAGCACTACCACCATCCTCAGCCAGAAAGTCTGTCAGAGTCAGGGTCTTTCCCTTCTTCTTGGTCTTTTTAGCTGTAGGAAATGGGGGAAAAGTATATTAAGACTTTGTTACATAAGACTGGAATTTCAAAAATTCCAAGTCTAATTATTTTCTGAATAAATTATTCTTTTAATATACCAAACACAATAGCTTTATCACAGAGCAAATTATTCATAATGTATTAACTGTACTCTTATAGCATTTTCCCATATTTGCAAGAAACTTCTGTTGTTGCTTTTTTCTGGTGAAAGAGAACAGGAGAAAGCTTTTTCTCCTGTGGATTCAAAGTTTTTGAAAATGGTACTTTCCCAATCCTATTCAACAATATTACCCAACACTAGTGGCTCATAATCCATAGTGAAAGATTTTTTGGTAAAATGGAGGTACAAGCTCCTTCACTATAAGGTTCTAAGAAAACTCATTGGTTTTGTCCATGTAAGGAGCAGACAACATTAAAAACCCATCAATACTGATAAAGGAAAGAATATTATTTTGTCTCCTTGAGTGTGCCAGGCCCATCAATGGCACTCTTTTTCCGTGATGGCAGCACTGCATGTTCCTGTGAGGCAAGAGGAGAGGTTGATGGTAACAGTGCTGATTGAAGGCTCCCCCAGATCAGATAGACTTTTGCTGAGGAGTCAGTCTAAATGTGCCAAGTAGCTACTATCCAGCAGCAATAGTGTGGGGCAATGGGGGCAACCCTGGAGAAGGATTTCTCAGAGACAATGGTAATGGCACCATACCTAACACTAATTAGTACTGAAGAGAAACCTCTTCTGAGTATCTTTTACTATGAAAATTCTATGAGGAGATAACCTAAAATGAAACAAAAGACAGAAGATGATTCCTCCGGAGGAGATGGTACTCTCAATGATTTACTTGGATACATCAAAGTACTACAACTAGCATTGTGCTAAGGATACAACTTGACTGAAGCCGAAACTATTGACTTGCTTGGAAGTGAAAGGGAAGCCCACAGATGCACAACACATAGGAACATGGGAAGCATGAATCAGGAGAAGCTAAACATAATAAAACCAGGAATCATAACATATAAACATTGCAATACTTGGAGTGAGCAAACTAAAGTGTACAGAAATGAGATTTTTGAGTCAGATAATTGCATGATGTTTTACTGAGGAAATGGCAATCGAAGAAGTAATGGGTTGGTATTACTAGTAATGAGAGATGTAGCAAAAACAGTCAAAGGATGCAATGCAAAGTCTGACTGAATACTAGCAATAAAACTTCAGGAAACCCCTATCAATATAACCATAATCCAAGTTTATGCTCCAACTACTGAGGCAGAAGGATAAACCAAAAGAATTCTATTATGGAGTCCAGGAGGAAATTGACCGCACACCAAAAGCAAACCTCTTGTTAATCACTGGAATGCAAAAATAGGAAACAGAACAGAAGCAAAAATTGTAGGAAAATCTGGCCTTCTGTCCAGAAATAAGGACAGCAACTGATTACATTTTGCAAGGCCAACCATTTCTTCATTACAAACACATTATTCAAGCAACCAAAAAGGCGACTGTATATATGAATATCACGTGATCATTAATACAGAAATCAAATAAGCTGCAAAACGGGAAGCAGAAATTGTCAAAAACAAAATGAGGAACAGATTGCAGAACAATGAACTGATAATATCAAAAACTAGAATAAAGCTAAAGTACACTAAGCCAATCACTGTGGTAAAATATAAGCCAAAGAAGACTTCCACAGAATTTAAAGATAATGTAAACAAACCAAAGATTTCCTCTATTAAGCCTAATTGACTGGAAGTTGGAAGACCTCTGACCCGAAGTCAAGAACACTGTCAAAAAGTAATTCAAAAAACACTATCTGCAGACAAAAAGAAATAGAAACCTCAATGGCAGGTGAAACTCTTCAAGTAATTAAGGACAGATGAAAACCGAAAGTAAAAGGTGACAAAAAGTAGCAGGGTTTCTGCCTGGTTTTATTTTGCCAAGACATGAAAATGCTATCATCAAATTACTGGGAAAAAAAATCTTACGTAGAATTTAATTGGCATTGCTACACCATTTCTGAAGTTCAGTACAATACAAGGTTAAAAAAAAGCTGGCAGCATGACCTAGGAATGACATTCAGACATGAGGAACCCTATTGTTTAAAATACTATGGTGATAAGAAACTCACTTTATGGCTTCAGCTTCCTCATTCTCAACTTAATCTAATCCACATGATGGTTCTATGGAAGATAAGCGGGAGCATCCTGCTATTTTCCATCTTCATTCCCCAGAAATGGGAAAAACTGGCCAGGCATAATACTTCATATATTCCATCCCCAGATATTTCCCCCTTACACTTGTGGACATATCTTACATCACACTTAGGTGTGAAGCAGAAAAAAAGTTTAGGACAGAGTAGTCCTCTCCAAAGCCCAGCACAACTTCTGACACTTGTCCCCTTTAGTCTACTTTCACTGTCTGAGACCTGGGAATATGGTTGATGATAAGCACGAATAACGTAGAAATTGAGGATTCACAATAATGAAGAATAATATGTATGTGTATATACACAGGCTTTTCCACAAGTATTGTATTCTTTCACAATTCACTACAATTACATCTTATATTTTAAGTCTACTTTTATATTAAAATTGTGAATAAAAATAGAACACACTCAACAACTATGGTATATTTTTCCTAGTACACAAAAATCACATCTTATATTTTAAGACTACTTTTATCTAGAAAGAAACTTGGTAAGATAACTCTCCTTGTACATAAAATATGTAGTTAATATTCAAATGCTGCAAAAAGACAAATCTCCAATGACAAAGCTTTAAAAACTCACTTTACCCCCAACCTAAGTGGTTCAAACAAAATCTGAAATGTAGTACTATTGGAAACCTTTTTTTTTACTGTAGGAGAACATAATAGCCTCCTTTAATACTATATTGTGAATGAAATTAAAACAATTCAGTTTCCTAGTTTGTACTGGACTGATTTTTTCATGTGAAAAAATTATCAGGAGGCAATTTCTACTCATCATTCTTTATGTGTATGTATGTGTGCACACAAAAAATGTGCAAGATCGCAGCTTCAACACATCCTGAAGATTTAACAAAGCCAAAATTTTTGCAGCATGTTTGATAGGTTTACCATATGAAAAAGGAATATGAGGCTTCAACTTGGATCTGGTTTTTCACAGGAAACTGTAAGCCTTTGCAAAAAACAAAAAAACAACACCCCCCCCCAAAAAAAACCCAATCCTATCGAACAAAGGCAAAGAAAACTCCACACATAACACCCTTCTGTTAAAAAACTAAACCATTTTTCAAGCCCATACTTTATTGCAAGGAACCTGCGCCTTAGCCTAAGTGCTGAACAAACAAACTGGGAGGGTATTTGCTACAAGCTATCAGAATTCAAGCAGATAGGTTGTTCCATTAATAGAGCCTCCCTCAACCTGGGATTTCTCAGATATATTGGAATATGACTCTCATCACAAAAGTGGAGAAGAGAAGGACTAGAAAATCCCTGATCAGCAGTACTACTCATCTACTGTCTTATGATGGTGCATGAAAGCAGACTATGGTGTGAACCAAAAAGACGGGGATTTGGGATAACTACATATCATGAAACCACAGGAATGTCTCTGGGGGAAAATCATTTCCAACATAGATGGGGAGCCTTGTGTTTCTATCTTCTCATTAGCATGCCTTTAAAAAAGAAGCCAAAAGCATTCTCTGTTCCTAAACAGCACAAACCCTTCTTTATAAAAGATGGCCAACTGGGCTGCAGTAAGAATTACGCTGCCCTTGACTTGAGATGAAGTATAAAACTCACGCTAAGAAGGAGAAAGTATGGGGAACAACAATCCTGTATAAGGGGACAACCTAGCCAGATTAAGCATGGGCTCACAAACATTTGATGGCCTTGGAAATCACACAATTTATACTGATTGCAACCTTGCCTGCTCTGCAAAGGCTGAAGGCCTTCAATCTGATGTTACATAAACACCCTTGAAGCTCCTTGAATGTTATGAGAATCTTTTAACTTCTCAGCTCCAAAACAGGCAGTGTAGGTGGGGATAAATGGTCTTCCTCATAGTGTACTGTGACTTGCTTGACCTCATCCAAAGATGACCTCCTCAGATTAGTTTTAGTAGTACAGATACAAGAAACTTAATCTGTACTACATCTTGGCTATTGCTAAAACTGTAGACTTGACAATGGATAGCTTCCACACTAATTTCTGCCAGAATGTTCAATAAGCAGAAACGCGTTATAATTCCAACTTCGTTTATCTTCACAACCATATGAGACAACGTGTAGCATGCCAACTGCTGAAAAGATAACATAATCTACGAACTCAGAATACCAAGAATATGTTCAATAGGAAGATGAAGCCAATCTTGGCTTCTCACAAACAAACTTTGATGCACATGTTTTAAAACACTCAGTTGTAAAATTAACAGCACAATAACTGTGAAACATTATGTGACAATGCCTCAAGATTAAGATGAGGGAAAGAAATTAATGTGGGTCAAGAAGAGACAAAATCCACATTTTAATTATTGCACCTTAACAACTGAAGCATCTCTCCTGCATCAACAATGTTGTGTTCTGGATCACCTATTTTTATGTCGGTTGAGTTTCACAACTAATGTGTACCTCCCAAAGTTTCATACTAAGGACTGGAACAGATTTATCTTTACTAAAGCAGCAATCATTTATCTACTTAACCATGATTATGTCTCACTGAAATAAATGGGATTTAGTCCCAAGTGGATGCGCATAGGAGTACACTATACAAGTCCAAATAAACAATGATGTACACATTTGTAATGATGTGCACATTTGCAGGTTTAACATTTGCAAGTGTAATTATTCACAAATTTAACTTCTCTCTATAAATATATAGATCCTCCAGAAAAACTTCCTCCATAAGTTGACAATTGAGTCACACTGGAAGAGCTCTCTAGGAATCTCTAGATCCTCCAGTAAGGTTCTATGGTCAGCTCCCTGAAGAAGTTGACCACAGAATTGTGCTGAAGG